CAAGGTAAGAACTCTACTACCCTTCTTTAACTAGTTTTGTGTTGTATGATTTTTGAGAAATCATATGATGGATTAAACCACGAGTTTTACACGTTTAAGGGTGTATAATATTGTTATATAGTGGTGGTAATTAACTTAGAAGAGTCGTGGAATCGATAGGAGTTGAAACCACCGGAAACCGCCAAGGAGAAGAAGCTGTTCGTAGTTGCAGACTACGAAAGCCGCCCGGCTTTGGTGAAAGCCGCCCGGCTTTTGGGCTACTGTCCAGGAATTTCGCTTTTGATCGGTTTAGAACGGGGATCGATCGAAGGGCTTATCAAAGGCAACTAATCCAGCACTTCATAAGGTGAGGATGGCTGACTATGTTGTTTATAATCTTTGGGTTAATTTCATAAGATTACCTAAAGTATTTAAATGTGATTTTCATGGATTATTAACAAGTAATAATGCCTAAATGAGAATACAATTGCTTATGAGTAATTGAAGTATTATATGCGAATTGCGAATGAAGTGTGTATGGATACGTGATTATGAATATGATGGAATGATAGTTGAGTGAACTAAGAATATGGAGATAAAATATACTTTGTTTCATGTAGGGAATTCATGAATGGGTAAAAGTGATATTTTGATATTGGGAAGTAATTATATTTGAATTGGAAGATAAATTGAAATACACTATGTGTCTATGGGTTAAGAACTTGGTTGTTCAAAATTTATTCAACTAGTATTGAAATACTAGCCGAGATGTTAATATGAGGAACAATAGATTAATCCAATGAGTTGGGTTGTGAGGAAGTTATACCTTGAGTAGTCCTAAGAGATACTTTAAGGTCGAGACGTGTAAGCTCTAAGTATAATAGGAGTAGGCCCTAAAGGCTACTCAATCTAAACCGATTCTAGGCAAAGGAATTGCTTAGGGATTGATTAACGTGACTAAGAGCGGGGCTCTAGCATGTTGAAATGATGACTAAGAGCGGGGCTCTAGCATGTAGGGATGGTGACTAAGAGCGGGGCTCTAGCATAATGTAGATGGACTAAGAGCGGGGCTCTAGCCAATGTAAGTTAACTAAGAGCGGGGCTCTAGTATAATGTAGATGGACTAAGAGCGGGGCTCTAGCCAATGTAAATTAACTAAGAGCGGGGCTCTAGTATGATGTAAACGGACTAAGAGCGGGGCTCTAGCCAATGTAGACAAATTAGGAGCGGGGCTCTAGTATGATGTAGGGAGACTAGGAGCAAGGCTCTAGCACGATGTAGGGAGACTAAGAGCATGGCTCTAGCATGACCCAATAGTATAACCGGGCGAGGCTCGGTGATGTTTATGCCATGTAATAGGGAAATGCCCAAATGACTATGAGTAAATTTACCAGAGGTTTATGACATTCGTGACAAATGGTCACGGGGGGGAAAAGGGGGATGGACTTTCAAAATGCATACGGGTCTTCGGGCCGACTACTTGACTTTATATAAAGTAAGTATATTTTCAAAGAGGGTAACCACGAGTTACGACCTATATTATTATATCACCCTATTTGAGGGTCTTGGAAATTGAAACATTGATTATACTTAGTATAGTTGTCATTGTACTTGTCAAATGCTTCCAAGTACTGACCTCCCCTTCACGGGGGAGGCCACCTCACAGTTTCAGGTAGGAGTTGAGCTTGCTACCGGTGCCCGTTGTTTCGGGAAGATTCAGGAGGGAAGACGTGGTTCGTGCTTCCTCCGCCTCTGTTTTTTTTTAAAACATTTAAAATCGATGCTCATGGATATTATTTTGAATAATTATTTGGGGCTTGCATGCCCATGTTTGCCGAAGTGTGGCATAAACACTTGTATTAAACGTTTCCGCTGATTTAAATGATTATTTTACATTATGTTTGTTTATGGATGTACTATTGTGCATGATATTCAAGACGCCTTGTATAGTATGGATGAGTTGGACTGCGGTTGACTATTCGTACTGTACGGCGGGTTGTTGACGTGTCCGGTAGGCCCGGGGCGTGACAAGTTGTGTACTCAATTGACCTTTTCGTCCAATGGAAAGGACTAAAATGACCATGTATACATTTCAAACTTAATCTTATTTCTCATTGTCACATCCATCTCCTTCAAGGTCTCATAGCCGCTCACCAAATTTTAGTCATTGACTTCAATCACCGACCTTCATTCCGATTTGCCATCGTCATTGCTCAACAATCTATGCCTTTGGCTCCCATCGCCGTTTAATTATCACTTCGTTTTCCACTCTCGGGGTCATGGTCGTCATTGTCATCGTCACTCAACGTCATGATTGTTGTCACCGTCGTCCGAGTGCCCCTTCGCTGTGTCCATGCAATTCTTGAACTGGATCCATGTGTACTTGTGACGAGAAAAAGGCGAGCGAAAAGTCTAAAAATCTTTGGTGAGAGTAAGAGAAAATAAGAAAATTGATGTAGGTAATGAGGCATATACACCTCCCTCGAGTTTCTAATCTAAGTTTTTAGTGTGATTGCTAATGAATTTTATTATCATTGATGTCACTCGGGGTCTTTCATGACATTTTAAATGATGACCTCTTAGGGTATCTTCATCCATTGGATTATTAGAGGATTAAATTGAGGGAGAAATAATAAAAATACCTCAAACTTTGAAGGAGTGCAAGGTAAACATCACAAACTTGATATGTAATTTAAATACCCCAAACTTTATATAAAAAATTATTTTCGCACCATTTTCATGTATTATTATTTCTTTAAAAAATGTACATTTATGCGTTTAATGGCATAATTTAAAATAGAAAATTAAAGATGTTGCAATTTCAAAGATTGAGGGTAACATTATTTATTTCGCAATGGAAGTTTAGAATGTTCATTGTGTTTTCATGAATTCTAAAATATTTTAAATTATGCAATTAACATCATAATTTTACATTTTTAAAGAAATAATGCATGAAAATGGTGCAAAAGTAACTTTTTATATAAAATTTGGGGTATTTAAATTACATATGCAAGTTTGGATGTTTATCTCACATCCCTTCAAAGTTTGGGGTATTTGTATTATTTTTCCCTTAAATTGATGATGTGGTAGATTATTTTTTTGGATCTTGATTGAGTGAGGGAAATTGTTTGGTGAGATTATTTGACAAAATAATCCGGGATCAAGATATCCAAATTATCTCAAGATTATTATAAAGTTAGTATTAATTAGTGAGTACATGACCCACAAAAGATATGATTACTTTGTAATGATAAATGAAGTGATTTAGAAGATGTGATATTTTTTTAAATCCACGTGTCATAAAAAATCAGTTTATTTAAGTAGCTTGAATGTGGATGCTCTTATGGGTTCGGGGGCTATGGATCCATGTTTATCTTTTAACATTAATGGACATGTTCCTTTTTATCAAGTTTAATTAATGTACACGATAATTGTTGAGTTATAAAAAGTTTATAATCACTGTTTTTTTTTTTAAATAAATTAAATTTTATCATTAACTCAAGTTGGATAGAAGAGCTTATCAACCACATAAGTTAATGAGAAAAATATATTGCACTACATAATCAAAGATATAGCTACACAAAATATATCTCTGTGAAAAAATGGATACCTGAGAGGTCCAAGACCAGTCAAAAGTTATCTAGAAGTTATTTGGGAGGGGATATAATTGAATCTGTGATATCTTTTCTCGCGATGTCGACAAGTCAATACTAATAACCACAATGTTAGTGTTCATATTATTACCGCATTGTGATTATAGTAACGGTCACAATAGCCTCGATTATCGTAATAGCTATATTTGTTGTTGGCACAACATCTACCACATGAATACGAGTGGGCCATTTTTCATGAATATTATTAAATAAAATTCAAAAGACAAAAATATGGCTTGTTTTAAAAAATTCCAAAAAGTGACATATTTAGTGACTAATTCTAGTGACTCATCATCTACCGGTGATTTGTCACTCTGAAATACACTATGTGACTCTTTTCCAGTTACTCATACATAGTGACTAGTCATATTTTTGTCCAAAAACATAATTAGTCATGTTTTTGTCCAGTGAAACTAATAATATACGTGCCATTTTTTTCTTAATTTATTTGGATGATTATCACAAGTTTGTGAGTTTTCTTGCTAGTGAGGCTACACACATCACTTTCGCTTCTCCTTGCTCATTTCTTTACATTGGGTCTGCCTTTTGAGCTGAAAGATTGGTCTAGATGGCAAACGACCACTTAAGCTTCCTCCTTCACCACGGACCGCTTACGTTGTGGTTGGCTTCCTACTGGCCTGATAGATCGGCTCCCTGCCTAGCTGGTGGACACAGCCTTGCTAGGCTAGTCGGTTCACACCCTACCAGGTGATGGGCATAGTCAGTTCAGCCTGACCTGAGACCTGACCTGGCCCGACCCGGTCGGCCGGGACCAAGACTAGGGCCCAAACTAGGGCAATTATGTTGTAGGCTCCTGGATAGCAAAATGAGGGACTGGCCCGAGCCATTGTTTTTTCCAGATAGGACTGGCTACTAGGGGGTGGGGTGGGGGGTTGGAATTAATTCGAAAACACACCAAAAAAATCATTCCCGGCCCGAGCCCGGTTCTAACCCGGGCCCAACCCAGTCCCGATTCTAACCAGGGCCGGTACCGGGCCTGTATAATGTTGACCCGGAGCCCGCCAAGCTCGACCCGGAGCCCGACCCGGTCCACCCCTAGATGGACGGCTCCAGATGTGCTGATAGATCAGTACCCTACCATGCTGATGGATGGCTTCTAAATTCTATTGGGGTAATATCCATGTTCATGTAATATCTAAAATTATCTAATTTCTGGAAATTAGATACCCGAGACCGAGTACCCGAAGAAACGGCCTAATTCGATCCCATACTTGGAAACCTAAAAAGGGACCCGGCCCAGTCCGTAACAGTACCAGGCCCAGTTTTGGAATGGACATGACCACCAGACCGAGTCCATGCCCATAACTCGGCCTAGTCTCATAACCCCATCAATATCTAATCCATCCAGCGCAACTTAATTGTAAATAATTTGCTCAAGAAAACGGATCAAAACTTGAGACAAGAGATAGGGATACGTTATATGCACTTATCCTCACCAAAATAGCAGTCTAAAATACATGCTAGCACAAGAGGAAGGATTCATAATGCCGGAGCTACACGACCCTTGAAACAGAATTTCAGGAGTATTAGCGGCAAAGCAGTAGAGATTTGTCATTATTTGCCTCCAACATTTGGGTCTTCATGCCCTAGGCGATGACAAAGTGAACAGTACGAAGGGACACTTTCATATAACCACCTTCTGATATATGATGAAGTCGTCATTCCGCGGTGCAATCCATTCTGTCCTCAACACAGTTATATCAACTCAAAATGCAATCTGGGTTTCAAAGTTATCGGTGTATCATTGTGAACAAGATTGCCTAAAGCAGCACCAATAGAAAATAGAACTGCTATGTCATAATAAACCAGCAGTGAAACTCAGATAGGAACAACATGTGATTCACAAGTGTGTTGCAACATTTGCAACTTCTAAGCTAGTTCCTTCATCCCACTAAAAATGCAAACAAAGAGTTAGTATTAGCTTGTGAGTTGTATATGATTGCATTTTTTCAACTTAATGAATTTCCTATTGAACCAATGATGAAAGTCCTTTTCAACCAATTTTATTGGAAGAAAGTCAAGAAACTAAATATGAAGTAGGCACTCTCCAAACTCAAGGATAACAAAGATAAAGGGTGAGTAGATGAAACATAATACCTCAACCAATGGAGAGATTCCGCGATAGAAGAGAAGAGAGTCTGAGACTATTCATTTTGCAACTTTAAGTTTTTAATGAACCTAAGATCATTTGAAAACTGCTTTATTAAACATGTTAATGCTTTTTTGTTTAACGGTTTTATTTGAACATTCCATTTATATGTTTGATCACGAAGTTTGTCTGAGGAAACAAAATGTTGATAAAGTATTACATAGAATTGCACCAATAGGATATGAAAATCAATAGAATGAGAATCTATAATCTTTAAAAAAAATTCAAAATCTTTGTTATTAGGGACACCAAATAATCTTATCCACTTAATTTACACCGATTTGGTGAACATACAACCGACTTTAACATTACTCGCAAGCCTCATCCTAGAACATGGGCATCATGGTACTTTGAAGATTAGTTGGAAATGTCTTTCATAGTTTGGGTAAATCTAAGATGAACTTTACCTTGCTCAAGACTTGTAACTACATCTGTAGATCCCACCAAATCATTCAAACTGGCGGCTGCTCGCTCTTGAAATCTAATTCACCATTACCTCGACAAATGGACAATTTGCAAAAACTCTGTTCTAGTTTCTTGCGGGCCCTCCTCATAGGTGACAGACCACAAGATCAGAAGCCACGCTTACAATTTCTCACTTGTTAGTTGTTACCAATCATCTATTTCATTAAGAGTTATGCATGACATGAGCAGAGTTTGTGGATTCATCTGTTGAAATACTCGCAGATGTACAAGAACATGATTCTGTGCAAACTCTGCAACAGGATATTTGACAATGGTGTTTTGAAGAAGCTATGGAATGCAGAAAGTTGAAGTAAGCATATTTGACATCAAACCGCATATCATACCCTGTCAGAAAAAAATCCATATTAGCTCCTGTCTGTACTAACCAAGGAAAACGAAACTAATACAAGAGTGTTTTTCACTTTAAGGAATAAATTGAGAGCTTTTACAGTAGTTTATTGCAATTGTGAGTCCTCTTCTGTCTGGAATTTGTCTAACATGATGAAACCACATACTTGGCCTGCACATTTTACAGCACGCGAAACTAGTCATGGTTCATAAAGTTACAAATTCTAAATTTTGACAAGGTACAGTTCATATAATCATCAATCCTACACATACTCATTTATTTGTTTGATGCTTTATTTTAACATATACTCCCTCCGTCCCGAAAAGGTTGGCCAAATTTCCTTTTTTGGATGTCCCAAAAAGATTGGCCATTTCCATTTAAAGTAAAGGATATGTGGCTGAAGTTAATTCTCTCTCCTCTGCACAAATTTCAATCACACAGTTTTTACTTTATTAATCCACGTGAAAGTCAACATTGGCCAACCTTTTCGGGACGGAGGGAGTACTACTTACATGCTTTCCGGACCCTTTTGTCAGTAATTACAAAAAATCAATGAAAAATTAGTTCCCTTTGTTGAAATGATACTCTATTTATGTCTCGTTTTATTAGATAAAGTTGTTTAAAAAAATGCTCTAATTGGCATGACGAGTAGTATTTACTCCCCTCTGCTTAAGTAAACTCTCTCTCTTATTCGTGCGATCAATTAAACTCTTTATCTTCTAAATTATGTACCAAATATTGTCATTTTCAAATTCGGTTTCAATAATATTTTTAGTATAGTTCCGAGCGTGTAAATTCTTATTACAAACACTAGTTTATGCGTTATCAGGGGAGAGTTAAATTGATGAAATAATGACATAAATATTATCTATGAGTTTGCAATGGACAAATAGAGGACTAGATTTAACGAAAAAGAGACTACATGGAGGATGTTTTTACTTGGACTTATTTCTGTCCCAGACTAGACCAGTTTAGGCCAGAAGACCAGACTTCGAAAGTTGTAAAATACACAGAGACCAAACATTTACCAGACCAGATCAGACCAAATCAGACCAGTCCGAGTAAAAACATCCTTAGACCGAAAAGAATAGAAACCCCAAATAAAACCTAGCTGTCTCTACCATTCGGCTTCTCACCCCGTATCTCTTGCATAGCCCCAGCCGCCGCCACTGGCTATATATTTGCCCCATCAATGCCACCAGCTGCATCACCATCGTTGTCGATCGTGTGCTGCTCCATCGGCCGTGTGCTGCTCGTACTGTTGGGGATGGCGAATCAAGGATGATGACGAGCCGGAATGGCAATCTCCAGACGGCAGACATTGTCGGTGTGAGTAAATGGTGTTGGTGCAGGGTGGTGGCGATTGTGACCAGACGGAGGATGCTGTTTGAGTTGGCAAGCGCACGTTGGACGATGATGGCGATCTCCGGCAGACGAATGCGACAGTATGCATTGCAATTTTGGAACTAAGGTTTCAGATGAATCAGATAGGGTTTCATTTTTTGGCTGCAGCGGCGGTGAGATGTCTATGGTTGGAGGGGCGGTTAGGGCAGGGAATGGGGATGGGGAGGGGTTGTGGCAGGGACAGTGGTTGGAGGCGACTGGGGGAGGGGTTGGGGAAGGGTGCGATGGATGGGGGTAGGGGGTAGGGGCGTAGGGTAGGGCGGGGAATGCGGCAATGGCAGGGAGGGGATGTGGAGTGAGGGCGGTGGTGGACGTGTAGGGGTCTGTGTCATTGAGTCAGGTAGAGTGTTCACGGCAAGTCACTCGGAGCGGCAGGCCACTGGCCATCGATGGCGGGTCACTGGACGCCAAGTACCGAGTCACTGGGTGCAACGGATCACTGGTGGCCGGTAGTGATCAGTGGCAGCTACATAGGAGTATAAAAGTCATGTTAATCACTTTTTTGAATAGTTCCAAAAGTTGTTCTGTTTTTATCCCAAGACTTTTATTTTAGGGGGGTGTCCCCAACATTGATTCTGAGAGATTCCTAAGGATTGTGGATTTTGTAGGATTTCTGTGGAATTCCAGAGAATTCACAGATTCCAGGGAATAGAATTCTATGGATTTTGATGGAATGTGACAGATTCACTATTTTAGAGTGGTATATATTTTTATAGATTATTGTGAAACATGAGTTACTTAGTAATTAGTATAAAAAAATATAACTCCATTTTTTGTTAAATAAGTGTAACATGTTAAAATAAATAATATTTACGTTATATATTTTTACTTTGACTACATTTTATTTATTATTAATAAATTATTTTTAAAAAAAATTGTTAAACTTGTCTCGTCTCGCCACATATGAAATTATTTTTAAATAGGGAAGTAAATATATCAATGATCAAAAGTGGAGCCATAGTCAAACGTTAAAATGGATCGTTGCAAACTGACATCGATTTGCAAAAAGTAGTGAATTTGTTTTTTAACAAAATACTTAAAATTATATGTTAAATTAACGCCAATACATAGTCATATCAAAATAAGTCCTTACACAAACAAAAGGATAAAATAACTTTAATCTAGTTCTTCGTCTGTGACCTCAATTTACTGTGTTATGTGTAGTGATATGTTTTCTTTCCAAATGCTGAATTCATTTTTTAAAGTCGTAATTATACAGCAAACAAGCAAGGGCAGAAAAACATTGTAAAAAGGAAAGTTAGGGCTTCACTTTTTTTAACGTTTCTGGATAAGCATATGCAAGGAGGCTGAAGGTGTATGGGACTATGGGCAGTCCGTTGGAGCCCATATTCGTCTGAAGCAGTAGTGTTAGGTGTGGGGAAGGAGGCGTTGAGTGAGGGTGGGGGAGAGCGGAGCTGCCACGCTCGAGAAAAACCAGTCCGTACGCAGGGGCGGAGCTAGGGGGTGCCCAGGCTAGGCCCTGGCCCACCCCAAATTTGAAAAATGTCAATATTTTTAGTGTAAAAAATTTCGTGTAATTTTTTTTTCCAATAATATTCTTTGTACCGGCCCAGTCTAGCCCAGTGTCCTGGCTACGCCCCTGTCCGTACGTCAATGATATTATTGAAGAAGATAAACTTGTGAGAACTGAGAAGATACTAGAAGAGAAATACCTGGAGCAGAAGGCCGGAGTCGGCGAAGTGGCGATGGTGAGATCTGCCTAGAACTTATGGCCTAATTTGGAAGGGCAACGAGGATTTCAAATCTTATGGGTGAGGGTGAGATATGTGTGGAATGGATTCAGCTTATTTTATTTTTCAGATTCCGTCCAAATCAGTCCAAATGACATAAAATGGAAGTCCATGGATTTTTTGGGGACCGTAGATTTTAGAGGAGTTTCTAACAATCTAGTTTGAGGACCGGTGGATTGTCAGGGAATTCTGAATTCTTTTGAAATCTAATTTGGGGACACCCCCTTTAGTAATATTGATGTCAAAACCCCTAAATTTATTTCAAGGTCAAACGTAATGACCATAAAATAAAGTTTAACAAGGGATAGAGGAGTAATTACTACTAAAGGATACACCAAGTAATTACTAAAGGCACCTAATCATATTCACCATAACCCTTTCTTGAGCAATACATGTTTTGATATAGCCACAGATGGAAGTTCCATCTTCATTACAGACAGGTACAAAACACATGACTATGGAGTTTCCAGAATCCAGAGAAAACATATCACTAAGAAAAACAATCAAATTGCAAATGAAGAAAGGGAAGCCAATTTGAAATGATAAGAGCAGAACTATGAAAAGCTTACAAATAAAGAACTTCCCCAGCCTTTACTGTGACTTCAAATGGCTTAGGACCATTAAAATATAGAGGAAACTCTGCTATTTCTTTCCCCTTCAAATCAGGTGAGGGATATGGATTCACACTGCTCCATGGCACATACCTAACTGGATCCTCTAGTTCCAATGAAAACTCCATGCTCTCCTACAATTCAAACCATTTGTTCAAAGTCATATCATATTGCTATTCGGTGCTCCTAATCACACAGTAATGCACTTTCCTATTACTTTATTTATCATTAAAGCAATCAATACGGAGTATTATTCATTTCATAATACACTCAAAAGCTAAGCTTGGGAATAGTGAAATGAAACTGAAACCTGAGAATAGTGATACTGAGCAGCCGGATACTCTCTAATATACATCCTGTGGACGTCCGTAGGAGGAAGCAGAAGAAAATGCTTCTCCCCAGTAATCACGGCGTAGAGATTCTCATAATGGTCTTTATGGAAAGAAGTCTCAGACAGATCATTCCCTATCCAGAGGTTCACGGCATCGGGAAGGCATCCTAGGGCATCGCTTGCCCACGAGATATGGGAATCGCAGTCCTGACCGAGTTCTTCATACTCCGAACGAAAACAATCGTTCTGTTGCTGCAGGTAAGCAACAGAGGAACGGCCTTCGGATTGAAGAACCGATTGTAGAGCGTCAGGGAAAGAGAGTCTTTCGACATGGGCGGAGGCGAAGCAGAGGGATGCAGGAGAGGTGGGAAGAGAGGTAACGGAGTCCGCTCGGCCGGTGGGGGTAAGGTGGAGGGAGACGGTGGATGAAGAGAGGGAGTCGAGGAGGTAGCGGGTGGAACGCCAGAGAGCGGTGGCGGGCCAGTGGTTGACGGCGTTGGATATGAGGCAAGGTTTATTGGGGGAAACGTAGTCGCGGAGAAATTGAAGAGGGGTGAGGGGAGAGGGGAGGTGATCAATTTGAGGGGTTGTTCCTAGGCTCAGATCCCTCACTTCTTCCCACAGGTTCCGGATCGCTTCCTCCATTGACGGCGGAGAGTCTTGAGAAACTCTAAAATGGCGGCCAGGCCTTTTGAAGTTACGGAGTATAACTGTATGAAACTTAAACGGAGACAGTTTTCTCGGCGAGCTATTTCGACTGGCACAGTGCTCAGCGGAGGACCTAGGGGTCCCAGCCTCCAAGGGGACAAGTGCCCAGCTTCAGACCCCAAACTTTGACCCCAAACTTTAGTATAAGCATTTAGGATAAAAATAATGCTCTACCTATCCCTATAAAAAAAGTACGTATAACTATTTCCTCTAGTTATACGGGACGTATAACTATAAGCATTTATGAAGTGTTTTCAATTGCTTCAACTTTAAAAAAGTGATTTTTTAAAGTGATTTTGGGGAAAGTGATTAATAGTAAAAGTTGGTAGTGTTTGAGAAAAAAGTGATTCTGCAAAAGTAAAAGTTGGTAGTGTTTGGTAAAATAAGTACTTTTTGTGTAATAGAAAAAGTGAGAAGCAGTTTCAAGCACCTTTCTACCTGCTTCCAGCTTTTAGCTTTTAAGTGATTAATTTAAGCAGAAGCTGTCATTTGAAAACACTCTTTTCAACTTTTTTTAAGTCAAAAGCTGAAAAGCGCTTTTTTTAAGCAAACCCAAATGCTCCTTTAATTGAGTTCCTGGTTTGACTTCACACATATTAAGAAATAAATTTGACTTTACTGTGGAGTGCACTGTTTGAACACTGTTTGACACTGTTTGAACACTATTTGACACTTTTTGAACACTGTTTGACACTGTTTTGGTGTAAATCATTTTCCAAATAAGGAAAGGTTTGAAGTAGGAACTTTAATACGAAGTAGGAACTTATTTACGGGACGCAGAGAGATTAAATAAGGTAATAATCATTTCAGAGAGTATATGTAAATTGTTATAAGACATTTAAATAACTACTCCGTATGAAATTATGATGGAATGATTGCTTACAGTTAGACACAATCATAATTGTAAAAGTTAAAATTTGATTGTTTATAATATGAAAACTATAAACAATGTAATGATGATTCAGTTGTAATCCATGACATGTCTTTCTTAAAAAAAAATGAATACGAAGTATTATTTTTCAGAATTGTTTTAATAGGTTGAAGCTAGATCTATAAATCATAAGTGTACATTTCTTGGAACTGACATTGAATAAACTATTTTCTTTTAAAAAAACTGTCTGCACGAGACAAAATAGACCATTTTCACATCCGACGTGACCCGACCCGACCCATTTCTATCAATTTTACAGTGCCCCTCCTTAACAAAAGCTCTGGGTCCGCCACTGACAATGCTTAGCTGTTATTGAACTTGACTAGGCTTGGTCGGAGGAGAGTATACCTACGGTGTTCATAATATAACCGAATATTTTATTTTTACATCATAGGAATTACATTTAAAAGATATGATCATTGATATCAAATCACACTATTAATAACACAGTTGAGTATTAAAAATGTGCAATTAAGTATCATAAAAAAAGGATGACACCTCATCCCTGAGGGCCCCCAACACCGACCGGACAGCACGATGGGAAGATGTAAATTGGACTATAATCACAATCTGATAGATAGAGAGTGGGGCTCCGTCTCTGGTACTTGTTTTTAGCATAGTAACCTCTCATCGTAGTTACCGGGATTCGAACCCGGGACCTAACCCTTGTGACACTTCCTCGCTATCAGTTGAGCTACGCCCACCGGTTGCAATTAAGTATCATGATATACATATACTTCCCTCCGTCCCATTGGACTTTGCCAACTTTCCCTTTTTGGATGTCCTAAAAACTTTGCCACTTTCATATTAAAGCAACTAATTTGTGGTTTTGCACATTTCTCTCCTTTGCACAAATTTCAACCACACATTTTTTACTATTCTTATTTCTCACCTACTTTGCACTTGGCAAAGCTCACCGGGATGGAGGGAATAATATATATACTACAAATCAACTTTTTGATTTAATTATATTATCATTGTGTATTATCATATTTTTTTTGAAAGGAAACTAATTTTATTATAGCAATCAAACTTCTCAAAGTTCTCCCAACCGTCGCCAAACCTCCCCATGAGGCCCCGCATAGCCAAAAGGCTCTCCCACTCTCTGACTGGACATAGTATAGACCACCCTGGAAAGAGCGAGACTATTTGCTAACCATGTGAGAGTTTGGAAGCTTTTAACGGCCAACAAATCTTATCGCTTCCACCCACTAAAATGTCCTAAGCAAAATTAAAAAAAAAAAAGCAAAATAGCAACCTGCCTCTAGAATTCATGACGAAAACAAAAGCAACATTGTCAACCGAAAGGAAAAAAGCGTATAAAAAAATTAAAAGCTTCATGGCCTCTTGCCTTGTTTATTCCCACATGTTGTGAGAGTGTAGCCGTAAGATCTGTGCTTGGCGAGCTACAAAATTGCAGCTCGCCTCCTCCCCATTTTCCCGTTGGCATGAACAAGCTCCATCTCCTCCCCAATCTGGTAAGCTTCTGAATCCTCCACCCGTCTGCGCTTCTGTTCGAGATTCCCTCTCTCTTTTGGTGAGGACCCACTTTTGAGGACGCTTGATCGCTTACCCTCATCGCTATTTCCGTTGTTAGTTTGGCTACCCAAGTTGATTCCTTTATCGGGACGAGCCATTTATTCTCCTTCTGATGCATTGCACCTTTTGCTGCCCTAAGCCACAGTCCGAAAGGCCTCTCGTCGGTTACCTTGTAACCCCTCCTCTTACGAGGACAATGCAAATGTTGGATTTTCTTATCAAGCTGTTGAGCTATCCTTTTTCATACAGGACACGTGATAATTTAGTCAAATGCTCTCTGCCCAATGTTTCCTTGAACCTTGAACCGGGGTGTTGTCTCGATATGAGATGGATGGAGCAATCTTATCAAACAAGCTTTCTCATATACTTTTTTAATAAACTGCAATTTTATGTGATTGTGAGTCAGTTGCAATGGCAGGTTCTATCACAATGGCTCTCTTCTCTTTCCTATGTGGTCGCCGCCGGCGGAAAGGCAGGCAAGTCCCAGGTGGCCCCCAACATCACTATAAGGAGAGGATTGGAATCCTCTGCCGCACAGCAGAGTGCCTTGCGCGTAGAGGACCGTCGGATGGGGAAGAGTGGCCTCGGGATCTGCACTTCAACATCTCCGACCGTCCATCTTTTGATCGGATGGTTCCCGAGGACCAGGCACCGTGCCTTACTTTGAAGTATGGCAGAGGTTCCGGATCCATAAAGAGAACCGTGATCCCCGTGTGCAGAGAATATTGGCCATCTGGACACTCCCGCTCGGAGAGGTTACTGACCTGATCTACACCACTACCCCAGCTGAAGTTTCCGTTTGGAAACTGTATGCCTGTACGTATGCTAATTGCTAGCTACATAAGCTTTTCCTCCAAAAAGAATAACTGCAGTCGGTAAACGCAGTTACACAACTATCAATATTCCATTTTTTCATCATAAATATATGTGCGTTGTAATACACCTTGCATACTTAAGTTGATCAAGGCCTCCAAATTAGGTTTGTTTGGGTGTTCATATCAATTTTTTTTTTTGGGTTATCACTTTTCATCCGTGACCTCACTTGAGAAGTTTCAGCTTCAAGATGCCAACTATTGTGCAGCAGAAATCATACGGAATAATATTGTATCTTCCAATTGGCTTTGGTAATTTAGATAATACTCCGTATTAGATTAAATTTCAGCTTCCATACGAGCCAACTATTTTTGCATATATGCACGAATATGAGTATTGTTTAAAAAAAAGTATCATACATGTGCGGCTAACCTGAACCCCCCTCTTCAAATTTTAGTTGTGGGGTCAACTTTTAAAACTACCGATTTTAGGGTGAGTTTGTGTTTAATTTGTGATTTCTGTGAATCGGTATGCAACCCCCAATTCAATTGGTTTTGATTGTAATGTCATATTTTGTGAATCTAACCCATATACATACTGCCTATCCCCTCTCCAAAAAATATACATATTGATATTCATTGAAAAGAGCGGATCGATGCATTTCTCTTGGAGGGCATAATTGGGTTGTTGCTATTGTTGGGGGTTATTTCTTATTATGGGCTTTATAATTTCTTTGAATTTAATTCGATGGCCAATGCCCTTTAACTTTGGCTGATTTTTTTATACATAAATTTATGTTGACAAAATGGTGCTAAGTAGGAGTAAAACATTTAGAATTTAGAAATAATGACAAATGACTAAATTAAAAATAATGATAAAAAATACTTCTGTATAACTTATTAGTATTTATCACAGTAATTTTAGTAACTATGATTGTGCTTAATTCTACATAGTAGTGATTATGTATAGTACTACTTCCGTCCCGATTGGTCAATAATCACAAACTTTTAACCATGGTTTTAGTTACTATAATTGTATAAAATTTATGAATTTTATACTTTCAAAAAAATATTTAGAATAAACAACATTTTGATACTCCGTATAATTTTTATATTCAAAATAATTTTGTATTTAAAATCATGATTAGTCAAAGTTGATTGTCATTAACAAAAAAAATCAAATTGATGAACCTTTTCGGGACGGGGGAGTAACATTTTTGGTCATAGGTTATATTTTAGTAATAATTTCATTCCATTAACATTGAGACATTGAAACATGACGAGTGTCACTTTTATTAAGAAAAATGAGTTTGTGTGGTAAACATTGAATTGATAAAGTAACAATGATTTATAACCATAAAACTTAAGCAAATTTGATAGGAGACAATTTTAATTAGATGGAAAGAAAAAAAAGAATGAAACGATCTTAATGGTCGGAAGGAGTAACAATTTAACGAAAAACCTCAACATTTAAGATGTGTGCGTGTAGGAGTAAGTAGTAACTATTTCCTCCATCCCCTATTATTGAGTCGGAAGAGAGTGGTGTGGTTTTAAGAAAAGTTAAATTATGTGGTTAATAATGAGTTGATAAAGTGGAAATAAAGTATTGATAAAGTGGAAATAAAGTAAGAATCAATTAGTCATATAAATGTTATCAAATATGGTATGAGACAATAATAAGGGAACATTCAAAAATGAAAAAATGAGACAATTATAAAAGGACAAGAATACTTTGTTATTTGTGAATAAGAGCATCTACATCCATGATACTGAAATAATCAGATTTTTTAATGACACGTAGATTTTTTCAAAATAATCGCACACTTTGTAAATTACATCATTCATCATCTCAAAATAATC